GGATCTTAGCACCTGGATAAATCCTGAGTACTACAGCTGGAGCTTCTCTGTAATATAGTGCTCCCAGTTCTGGGTTTACCCATCACAGAAGCTCTGTCTGAATCCACAGTGCTGATGCCAACAATGGATCTGCTTTCTAAATTTCAAGTATGGTTCAGCAAAGCACCTTTTAGCAGCACTTAAAGAATCATCTGGGTATATATATACACACCTAAGGAGGTAGGGTGCCTGGAGTTACAGTTCAACACTTAAATATTGATTTGCTTTCTGCAAATTGTCAAGTCATATTTGTGTGCCCTCCTTTGCCAGGGACTAGGTCCTAAATAAACATAGGATTGCTTCTTCCTTGACAGTAATTATGGACAGTGCCAAACTAAGGTTCTCTGTGTGGTTTCCTTACACAAACCACCTGGGCCAGCTAGCAAAGACAGGATCCCAGTCTCTTTACTCATCAATGCCTTTACTCCAAGTTAATTTTTTATGGCTTATGGGAGATTTTTGGGTTCTTTCTTAAGGGAACATTGTTGGCTTTTCTTTGATATTAGCTCTTGACCTTGCAGACAGGACACAGGGGCTGATACTGGGATGCCAGTTGTATCAGTCAGAAAAGTCAGACTTGAAAAGGCTCCTAGGGCTGTTTGGGTACCTGTCACAAACCATCACCTTCTAATCATCCAGAGCTTCCCAACTCTTCTGTGCTGGAACAGTCTTCATGGCCAGCTAACAGGGCCTCAGCTTCCAGTAACCATGCCATGCTGCTGCTTTTTCTGCTCCTTTTAGGGGTGCCACAGAAAATTAATCCAAACATACTTCTCCTTCAACTCTCAGCAGCAATATTTTCTCCTCAGATGAGATGCTTACATGGATCTCCTGTGAGACACTTCCCTAATTCAAAGCCTTTTGGCTGTTTCTCACTTCAAGATACTAATTGTGCTTGAGATGAAAAACAAGCACATTTGGCAGTGCTAGATGAAACTAACATTAGTATGTGCATCTAGTGAGACATTTTGGCATGGGACATACACAAAAGTTAAATTATCAGAATGACAAACACAGCAGTAAGAAAGAAGATTTGCTTCTTTGTTTGGCTTAAAGACAAGTTGGTATTTAATATTTTCTTCCTCTACACTTTGTTTTGATGATATTTCTCATATACCTTTAATTTTCAAAATGTAATTCCTTCAGCAATCCTAGACCTAGTCTGGAAAACATTTTGTTCTGATTATACTGGAAACAGAACATCTGAGGTATCACCAAACCACTCACTGAGAAAGCATCACTCAGAAAACCATGTGTGTCTTACTTTTCTTTTGCTTTTAAACTATTAATGGAAGTCTTCACTGAATTCATATACAATTGTTCTGCTTGCAGTAAGAGATACCAATAATTTAAGATTTAAAAAATAAATGCAAATTTCTCTAATGTCACCTTATGTAGAAAACATTTGCTTCTTTTTTGCCCAACACTATATCACTGTACCCTCATACACGTCATGGATGTCTTAAATCAGATCAAAGTGTTGGGACATCATTCCAGTAACAACCTCCATGTGAATACCTCAAATGTACTCAAATAGACCCTCCTGGTGAGGGGTAACTGGAGCTGAATTCTGCAGCACACCTTTTGCCTTTGAGATAACCTACACAGAGAGTTACCTGACACATTTCTCAAAAAACCCTCAGCAAAATAAAAGTGATTCAGAATTCTGTTCTGAAAGTTTAGTATTCAAGAACAACTTTGAGGCTGCCCTGTGATCACCAGACTGATTAAAAATGCTAATCAGAAGCTTGTATTAGGAGATTAGTACTGTCTGAACTTTGATCTGCCTCATTTGTGTACACAGGAAAAGGGAGAGACACACCATCAGGCTGAGAACTGCTTTCGTGGGTAGTAGATTTCTCATCTGTAAAGGATTCACAAAAGCACTCTTCACTGTTTTGGTTCTTGTTTCTTGCTTTCAGTGGTTGACAGGGAAGGCTTCAGGGTTTCTATAGTTAACTATAGTTTCTACAGTTAACTCTTAACTGTTAAAGAGTTAACTGTTTACTCTAAACCAGACAGCTTTGTAACAGCAGAAAAAAAGGAAAAACACTATGTCTAAGGCAATATTATAATTGCATTCCTGTTACTAACCACGTGCTTTGGTTTGATCCATGTGATGTTCATAGGATCTGACAGAATTAATGAAAATCCCTCACATGCGAAACTCAGGACCACTAACAATGGTTCACTTCCACGGTCTTTGTGTAAACAACACATTGACACAAATATGGAATATCTGTGAATGACAGCCTCAACTCCAGACAACAGTCCCAGACACAAATTTACCTCAAATGTGGCAAACTTATCATTGCACATCTTAACATCAGTACCTCTTGAGATCTGGAGTGCCATGGCTTTGAAAATGTCTTCAGTGTAAAGAGTAAATAAATGAATGAACACAGTAAACATAAAAATCACAAGCAACTTTCATCAGTTGTGAGAAGAGACTCAACCATTAGAACAGCCTCTTTGAAGACCTTACAACTGAAGAATGGTCAGGCATTGGAACAAGCTTCCCTGGGAAGTGGTGGAATCACAAACCCTGAAGTGTTCAAAAAATGTGTAGATGTGGCACTCGGGTACATGGTTTAGTAGTGAATATGTCATTGCTGGGTTAATGGTTGAAACTGATGATCTTACAGATGATCTTTTACAACCTTAATGATTCCATTATTCTAAGCAGATTATAAACTTATTTTATTGAAAACCCAACAAATCTCTCCAGTCCCCTCCAATGTCACCATCCTTCTATTGCTAGATAAAATCTTCATACAGAAAACTACAGTCTTGTCAGCACTGCAACTCTCATTAAACACGCAAAAAGGGGATGGCAGACTAATATTTGCATTGCCACTTTGAGTGGATGGGGAGGCTTTAGTCACAGAAAAGAGGTGTTGGAAAGCCACATGAAGAATTAGCTCACAGCTGCTACCACAGGCTACAAAGTGGCATCTCTACTGACATAGCCAACCAACACCTTCACTGGAACTTAACGGTCTTCAATGAAAAATTCAAGTCCACTATAAATAAAGGTGCTGATCTAAGACCTTCTGTTGCCTTTATTCAGCTTCCATTGCCTCTGTGTCTAATTAACCCGTAAATTCTTTCAGTCAGAGATACCTTCCACTGTTCAACTTCGAGGTTTCCTATATGGCCATGGAGAGAAATCAAGAGACATAACCTGATTTGCAATCTTCTCAATTACTATTTTTTGTAGTAGGTAAGTGCTCTCACAGTTACTTCTCCTCTCTCAGCAGCTATAAAGGGAATGAAAGAGAGAAGACTGGAACATCTCAGTGCCATTCTTCTGACATGCAGTTGTTTTCCTGCTTTAATGTAAATCAGAACGTCAAAAGCTTACCAGAGCCTAGGTGCCTGTGGAGCTTAGACAGTTAAGATACTCAAGTTTCTGTAGCTACCTGCATGTACAGAAGCAACAGTGTTAACACCACTGTTCCTCTTCGGTTCTCCAGCTTGAGTAATGCCTTCTGCACTTGAGACAATTGGCAGTCTTCAGCACAGATCCAGAGAAATTTCACATGCACCGTGTACCAGAGCACCCTGAGCACTCTGCATCTTACTGTGGTGGATAGAATTCACAAGAAAAACTAGAAAACACATTTGAACTATGGAAAAACAGAGGAAAGGTGATATTTTATTTGTGATTATTTGTTTATGTAGGCTGTTTGTATTATAATTATGAAACCATGACAAACAATGCCAGATACGTATTGTATATTCTGAAGAACATAGACAGTGATCCAGAGGGAATCACCTGAAAGGCCTTCTGTCGTAAACCAAAAGCTGTATTGAAAAGAAGATCAGATGAGTTAATCCTGTTTTGTCTACATGTGCTTCCTCATGCGTTTCTGGGAGGAATACAGAACCGATGTGCGTGCTGTAGGAGGAAGTTCCCACCACTCGTTGGCTAACAGTAACCACTTAATTAATGTAAACATAAAATTTTAGTTAAAAAAAGAAAAATCGCCGGGGCACAGCCTGGAACTAACCACCATTTCACAAAATGGGTCATTAATTTGTCATCCTAAACACCACGCGTTCGTTGCAGCGCAAACTGCTCGCAGAAGCGCCATTCTCCCCATGGAAGCCCATCTTGAAAGGCATCTCCCGGAACAGGTGGATGAGCCCCGAGCCGCCGGAGCTCCCCGCCAGCCCCGGGGCGCCGCTCGCCTTCGGGTACGCTGCAGCCCCGCACCTCGGCACCTACCGCTGCACGCTGCCCTCCGCGCGGGGCCACCGAGCGCGACATCGAGAGCGGGGCATTGCTGCGCCCTTTAGGGGAGCGGATTAATTTCACCAGTTAATTCCTTCCCCCCAGCCCGCCCGTGGGGGAGGGCACATGCGCGTTGCCATGGGCGCTGGAGGAGCACCCAGAAAGTTGCGGGAGAGGGGCGGGGAGAAGGGGCCGAGCCGCCCGCCGGGGCTGAGTGCCCGCCCGGCGCCGCGCTCAGCGCGCTTTGGCAGCCGCTCTCAGCGCCGCGGCTGAGTCGCCTACCTGCCGCCTCCGGCTGGCGGCGGGGGAGGGAGGGAGCAAGGGAAGGGATAAACTTCAAACTTGGCCGGGCGGGCGGGGAGCCGCATGGATGTGTCCGTCCCTCGGCGCTGACTCGCAGCCCGCGGCGCGCTGTGGGGCGGCCGCTGCCCGAGGAGCGCGGGGCGCCGCCGCGCCGCTTCCTCCGCCGCCGGCCATGGGGCGCGGGGCTCAGCCCGGCCCCTGAGCGCGACGCCTCCCCCCCCGCTCCGGGCTGCCGCCGCCTCCCGCCCGCCGCCACCTGCCTCTCCCTCCCTGCGCCGCTGCCGACCTGAGGCCCTGGGCATCGGCTTCTCTTCGCGCTGCAGCCCGACCGAAATGGAGCCGTCCGCGGGAAGCCGCCGGCAGTGATCCCCGCTCTCCCACCGACCCACTGGCCGCCCCTTCGGCGCCCGCGCTCGCTCCGATGGAGCTGGAGGAGACGCCGCTCGCCCCTCCGAAGACCATGCTGCTTATGCTGAGGAAAGTTCGCAAGAGGCGGGAGATGCTGCTGCAGCAGCTGGGCTTCATCTGCGCCATCCTCTTCTTCGCCTGGTGCATGTCCAGCCTGCTCTCCAGAGCGGGTGAGTGGCAGCGGCGGCGGGACCGGCTGAGCCCGGCAGGGCCGGGCGGGCGGCTGGGGCGGCCCGGGGGCTGCAGCCGCCCCGGGGCTGCCGGGGTTTGGCGGCTTCAAGCGGCGGCTGTTCCCGTGTGGGGTGTCCCAGTGGAAATGGCCCGGCGTGCGGACGGGGCGGGGGAGCAGCGCGGGTTCCTCGGGAGAAAGCCCCGTGCCGGGCGGATGCGCGGCCCCAGCCCGGGGAGAGGGGGAAGCTGCGCCGCTGGCGCCTGCTCGTCCGTGGCTTCCCGAGCCCGCCGCCCCGCTCGGCTCGGGAAGAGACCGGGCATCGCGGGACAGCTTTGTGCCTGGGAACGGCCCTGGAGGAGTTTCCCCCCTGCCGTTGCGTTGGAGTGGAGTTCTCTCCAGCCGCCTGTAGTGCACCTTCTGCAACTTCGGGCTGCCTTTCGTTTTGTCCTGAGGTTGTAAAGCTCCATCAGCTATACTGCTTCTTTTCTCAATCTCACACGCACCCCCAACACCTCTCCCCCCGTTACAGTATAATTGTGACAGAAAATTCTGCATTTTAGGCTAGGAATGGTGCTAATCTTGCGTATTGTAGAGTATTATAGCAGTCTTTTGCATCGTTTGTGCATGTGCTCTTTTGGTAAACTGATGCATTTATAATTAACCAAATCATTCCCATTTGTTCCTCTGCCTGCTGGCACAGTTTGGGCTGTAAATGTGCAGCTTCAAGCCCTCATCCTGCAATATGTTTCACATCCCTCAAATGCAAAATCTAAGGCTTCTGGGACAGCACTTGGGTCTCTAGGTACGGCTGCCAACAGTCCTTGAAGATTTAAGAACAAAATCGGCTAAGCATCTACACTTAATATAAGAAACTCAGATTTCAGCACAATTAGAATGGGTCATCTGCTTAAATTAAAGCTGAAGTTCGAGTGTGTGCTTTAGGGAAGAAAAATCTGCTGAAACTTGTCATAGTTTGTAATGCTCTTGTGCTTAAATTATTGACTGGCTTGTTTGAGCTGTATCTAGGATGGCAACAAGCCGTCCATCTAAGAATTTGGTGCCTTAGACCATATTAGCATATTGCTCATCTTAAAACTTTCAATTTGTTTTTTCCAACTTTGAAACAAGTAATGAGGTTATGAATATGTTTGCATAGCTTGAAGGTTTTTTTTGTTGCAGTTGTTGTTTTCCACAACTTTTTTAGGTTTTCATGAAAAATGTCATGACTAATGAAAGTTTTTAATCTCCTGGGCTATCAACTAAATCCCTCATAACCTAATTTTTGATAGTATGCTGCATCAGGTGGGGTTTTTTTTTCAGCTGGCTAATTTGCGGTACATATTATCCATAAACACTGACCATCTGTTGTCTATGTTTCTTGCAGTTGTGGTTCAGAATATTTTACTCTGGAAAAACTAACTTCCAAACACGATTTCTTTTCCCAGGAGTCACTAAGAAAACACAGGCATTATGTGATGACAGTATAAACTCCAGAATTGGCCAAGGAAGAGTTTTTGTTGTTATTGCAATATGTACATGTGAAATGGATAAGGTTGAGGTGGAAGTGGTTTAATTAAGAGGTTCTATTCTTTCTTTGGTTATTATAATTGCATACGGTACATGATCTCACAAGTGCTCCTGTACTTTATTTAGCAGGTTGCATTGAGAACGCTTCTGGAATATGTGTTTTGCCAAAAGCTCCATTGACTTCTAAAAAAGTTTTTATTTTTTTAAGGCTTGTGAGAATTCAGTGTGATTTCCATTTTCTTTGACAAATTACAAATGGTTTGATATTATTAAGCATACCCAAGACTGAAAAGTTCGGAATAAACTAAAATGTAACTGGAACATATCCATATGCACTTTATTTTTTCATGAAAGCAGTAATGTAATATGTGCAAGTACAGATGACTAAATGGAAGTGTGATTTTTGCTCATGTCAGCATAGCTGGGCTGGTTTCATCTATAGGAGCTGCAAGTGTTGACTTTCACAGGTACAGGCTTCAGCATTTGCTTGCTGCTGAATATTTTCCTGCTGTGGGTCACAGCCAAGTGTTCTGATAGTTCTGATAGCCAGAATATGCCAACAGCTTGGATATGCTGCCTAGTTGCACCCTTTGGAGCTAGGAGCACCTAGCACATGTCTGTTGGCATGTGCTCCAGTCACACCTTGGATTTTTCCCCATTTGCATTCTGGTGGTCTGTCTGTGCTCCTTGCTAGTGGGCACACGTAATCCAGCTGGGATGATGGAGGAAAAAATTAGTGCTAGCGGGCATAATGTCTTTTTATTTAATGTAGGCCAAGAATCAGCTGTTCCAGACAGAGGCATTGTATCAGGAATGTGGAGAAATAGAAGGTTGATGGCATCACCTAATGGGACACATGAAGAGAACTGTACAGAGCCAGGTAAGATGGGACAACTTTGTAATAATGCTTATAGTGTCCTGTAAGCTCTTAAGATGTGTTGGGTAGTTTTGTCATGACCAAGCTGCAGTGATGTATAAACATCAGTGTTAAAATTAAAAAAACTCCCGCAAACCAGGACTGTTCTGTGTAGAAATAAGGTTTATTGTGTTACATAATGACACAATTTTATGTATTAAAGGCAAAAGGTAATGTTCAGATAAAGGAATGTTTTGGGGTCATTGTGAGGCTAGTGCCGACAATTCAGTTTCTGTAGTTTTGTTCCTTTGATGATTATTCATTTCTGTCCAGCTGATGTGTGTATATTGCACAAGTCATGAGAGGTGTGCTCCTCTTAAAACTATGGGTAGCTAAACATGCAGTGTTTCAGATGACATCTGTGCTTAGTGATTTATGTTCATTACTGTCACAGTTAATCATGGTTTGCTAGTTTAGTGATAAACTGTGTATTCAGAGTAGGAATTTATGTTGTGTGGAGGGGGTTGATGAGGTAAGTGATATGGAAACCCTGGAATCCATTTTACTTCAGGATGTCTATCTTGGCCAGGCAAAATGAATTGACTGAGGGCAGGAATAGATGATGCATTTTAGTATCAGTGTTAGTCCACAATGCTTTCATCTTCCCATCTGTCTTTCCAGTGTGTATTTCCTTTCTCTCTCTCCTTGCCTCTGTGTGGTTTATGGTGTGTGGGAGATGAGACATTTTGCCAATGGCACTAGCCAAGTTAATTTAAAGTTCAGATTTATTTTTTTTAATGTAACTCTTTGATCAACTCTGTGATAGCACTGGAGTGTGTGCCTTCTCACCAACAGTGTCAGCATGAGCTCTAGGATACTGTCAGCCCCAGGCAGTAGGAGAGTTTGGAGCAGTATTCCTGCCCTCACTTACACGTTTGTTGTAATACTGAGGTGCCAGTTGTATGGATTGAGGATCACTAGTGTGCTTATACACTCCTGAGAGAGAACTAGAAGAACACAGCTCAAAGTATATGGGTCCAAAAGTTTTAACTATATCCTTTTGATGTCCAAGAACTTCCCTGTGCTTTTGTTAAGAACTTTGTGGGTCGGTTTGCTTTGTTCTGCACCTGTAACCTTATGATGCTCTTGATTTATCTGTCAAAGTTGTTCACAAACAAGAAAGAACACAAAAAAGACCTTTTGGAAACACATAATGGTTCTTGATGAATAGTCAGAAAATACTAGTCTTTGTCACTCCTCTTTCATTTTCCTCCATATATGTGAATGCATAGTGTGATCATGTCTGAGCACGTATTTGGCAGCACACTTGGAGTCAAGGCAGCAAAAATTATAGAAGATAGATCAGAAAGATACCTGTCAAAGTTCTGATGGACACTTCCATTTAGCATGAATGAGAACTTTTTCACAATATTATAAAACAACAAAAGCAAAAACATGCTTGCATGTGAATTGGAACTGCAGAAGCAATACTGACTTCTTCACGTGTTTAAAACAAATAGTTCCGCTTCCTCCATTCTTCTAAAGTCATAAGTTTAATAATGACGTAAGTCATTACTTGAAGAACAGTTGGAATAGATAAATACAGCTGGGTCATTTTGACGTGGTTTTTTGAAATTCAGGTCTCTGAGGTGCATTTTTCTCTGTAACCATGAGAGATGGACACAAAGGAGGCCCAAATATGCCTCAGGATGCTGAAGTTTTAAGAAAAATACCACAATACTTGCATTAAATTAATAATGTCTAATCACAGTATTGGTAGTAGTCTTTCATTTAAAAAGTGTTTCTTCAGTGAGAACACAGATTTACAGATCAAATCTGTCACAGGATTGCAGTTGTAGCATTTTTAATCACTTCCTGTTATTCTGCAGTTATGTACTGCTTATCACTGTATCTTCTGCAGCTGAAGGAGGAATTGAGATTCTTGTAGGAGTGACTAGATGTAAGCTGCAAATAAAAGGAACATCTGAAAACAGCTGGAGTTGGTGTTTGTGGGGCAGGAGTGGGTCCCTAAAAACCCATTATTGTTATTGCCCAGTAAGAACTTCTGTAGATTTGGGTTAGCATTCTTTGTTGGTGGTTTTTGGGGTTTTTTTTGTTGTTGTTTTTTAGTGTTTTTTTCTATTTATTTTTTTTTTTTCATTCTTGTCTGGTAGCCAGGGATTGAGATTTGTCATGCAATGGGAGGGTAGCAATGATCGAGCGCCTATCGGAAGGGAGCAAGTAATATAGCTCGTCTCTGTGGGAATGTAGCTTGTGTAATCACATGACTACAGAGAGAGAAGTCCCAGGAAAGGTCAAGAGACTTGATGGAGATTGCATAGAAGATTGGTGAGAGTGTGGATTTTCAGTTGGCATATGAATACATGGCTCCCTGTAGGCTCCTCTATGAGATGTATTTATTATTACCTGCGTCATTTCTGTGTCTGCTCTAAGCATGAGGGGCTGTACCACTGCATGGCTGTGTGTACGGTATATAGCAGTTTTATTTTGCTATGTGGATGTTTATATATGTGTGTTTAGGATACAAGAATTTCATACTACCTTGAGAAATGCAGGTTCTTGCTGAGAGCCTGTTAATCCCTTGTGTCATTGCTGTGCTCCCTTTTCATTAGCTTCCCACACAAGTCTGCAGCTTTACCTCCCTTTTTCCAAAGGCTTTCAGTGAAGTTAATATATTTACCATTTCACTGGATTTTCTTACTTACATGTAAGTAAAAAAAATAAAAGTCCCTACTGTTAGAAATGGCAGCTATAGAAGTTAATAAGACCAGGAGTTCCTTGCACTTCATGACACTGGCAAGCAAGGCTCACCTTTTGTAATATATCTTGGGATAAAAACTCCCAAATAAGCTTCTAGAAGTAATGTTGGAAGCTTGTGAGAGCTGCTATCTTCTATAAACTCACGTAGTCTACACTATTTGAGATTAGTCTCATTTGCTGAAGTAGATATTTTTGTATTGTGTTCTTCTGGAAACATTGATAATGTATCTGGGGCAATGTATTGTGAGAAAATGTGTATTTTCTCAGAAGAGAAAAAATGCTAAAGTCTCAGCAGTGCTGCTTTAAAAAAGAACCAGGGGATTTTGAAAGAGGACAAGAACATACACTTGTGTGTGTGTAACTAGAGAAGAAAACTTGTGGGTTTTGTGTCAGAGGACTTACCAAGAGGATAATCTTGAATATCTTAAGAGGTGCTCCACATATTTTCTGATACTAATATTCTGCAATCATGAAAAGTTACAGATTTTCTCTGTCCCATAGCAGCTGGGAACTGTAGGTCAGCTGCAGGAAGGAAGTGGAGCCTTGGGAGCACCAAGCCAACCTCAGTTCTAGTCTGGACAGGGACCAAATCCTCACTACAGTTAATGTGCTCTGTAGCATTTTTCTATTAAAGATCATTCCTGGCTTTAAACTTCCCCATTGCTGAAAGCTTCTCTGCTGTGATAAGATATTGGTCTTTATATTGTCTTGGAGGCTAGAGGGCTTGAAGAATGTATGTAGAAGGTTGTGGACTTCAGAAATTTTATGTGAGCTTGGGATTTTTGAATTATGAATCTTATATTTATGTGGTATTGAGTAACTCTCTGGATGGCTTCCTCTTGGAAGGAAACCAAACTACCTTTTCTTTATGGCTCTGGGTAGATTTCTGTGGGAGGAGTTGACCTGACCCTCACTTGAGGCAGAGGGATGAGGAAAGAGGAGTAGTCGTCTCTAGCATCTTAACATACCTCATTAGTTTGCAACTGAATTTTTCGCTGTATCCAAGCTCTCGCTTCCATCTGCCATCAGCTTGCAAGCTTGCAGTGCCATCTGCCCAGAAAGTCTGATTTGTAGCTTCTCTGCTCCAATGGCTTGCCTCTTGTTTCAAAATGTTCCTATGACTCCGTGTCCTCCAGAGCTCCAAGTACCGTTTCCAGGGCACATCCAAGGTGGGGTGCCTGGGTGTCATGATGTTTCTTACCATGTGCCTCTGGGGCATGTCAGGCTGTTAAACCACTGATCCAGACCTTTTGCTGTTGTGAATATTTTCAAGTAATCCCCGATAGATTTTTTTTTTTTTTTAATTCTGTTAATTAGAGATATATGGGAATATATTTCCGTTGTCTTCTGACACTAGTCAGGGAGCGGCCTTGAAAGAGGCAGTGGGATTTTCTTGCCTGTGGTTTGTCAACCATGGACAGTTCATGAGGTACCCTGATTTTAAATAGGTGACAATTTGGTTCAAGCATGTTCTTCCCATTGTTATTAGTGGGTAAAGATGAATTATGGACTGGGGGAACGACAGGGTTAGCATTTCTTCTTGACCCATGCTGCATTTTTTAGTTTAGCATTAAAAGGCATGTTGTAGCAATGCTTTATGTTCCTGGAGTGAGAGAGAAAGAATCTGCAGATTGCTCTAAATCTAAAGGGTCCTCTACAGTAAAGTGTGTTTCCCAGTAGCATGTATATAAGTGAGTTTTGAGTCAGGATCAGTGTCATTAAGTCTCTGTATGTTTTAGACTGTTAGTTATAACCTTGGGGACTTAGGTAAGATGTGATGCATTGAAGAGAAACTATAGAAGTCTTAGACAGTTTTGTTAGTTTACCATAGAGAGAACAAGAGCCTGTTATTTTTTTCTACAAAAATCAATGATGACTAGAGAAGACAGGACTGACTCTTCCAAGCAATTTTCCAAGGGGGAAGAAAATGTTATTTCTTGTACACCTGTAGTAAAGACACTGTAGGAGCTATTGAGTTCCATTAGTTGTATTTAACAAACACAGTGCTTATTTAAATGCATCATTCTTAACGTACTGGATTGATGTATCCTTTTTTTCCTTAATCCATATAGACACCTTAATATATATAAGATCATAAACTGAGAGTAATAAAGGCTGGTGGAATATGTAATTTTGTGCTGATGTAATTTTTTTTTTAAATGTTGTGAAAAATTTGTATTGAAAATACGTATTTCTTTTAAACAATGCGCTCGTGATCTTCCCTAGATCAAACTTCCATTTTG